GGTTTTTGATTTTTAAAGATGAACACAGGTTTAATTATCTATCGGGTCATATTTTTTCTTCCCAGGTCCGATACTCGTGCCTGTGCAACATAGGGCTTGGTTGGTACTTGGAAAAAATTAGTCCTATAAATATGACGTCGCTTTGAGATATTTTTGCTTCTGGGCAAAGCAACAGGCTTGACCGACAAAAACTATAACAAGCCTGTAACGTCTAATCTACTGGACTAGGAAAAAATACTTGAATTTGTAATAATAAGTATTTGCATTTAATATTTTAAAATGCTTATGAATGAAATATTGGTACAAAATGGAAGGGACTTCTAAGGCTAGGAGGGGTCACTGGATTTCAAATGATGGTGTCCCTTTAAAAAAGGATCTCTTAAAATTTAGTCTAGATAGAAACAATATTATTAAAATGTTAGTGTCGACTCCGGCACAGTTAAGTTATTCAACAATAACAACTATACACATCCATAGGTCTGCTAAAGTGCCTAATAGTGGGCGTAAATTCTAGAAAATGTCGCAAATTAAACTGACAAAAACTATCGCGAAATTACATGGCAAAGGCAAAAACAAAAAATAAATGACGTTTACACTTACCTACACACACAATAAATCTGTAAGGATATAATATGAAAGGTCGTTATACGAAATCGTCGTTAAATGTTCCGAATTGAAATGAAATATTGTTTTCGTGTTCAATTTTACAATTTAACGTTTCAATACACAATTTGATTTTAAGCGGCAGCGGAAATCACGTCTGCGCATGCTCGAAATAAATTTTTCATCAAATGCTGATTTTTATAAATTATTTCTGAATTAATAGTCTAAAAACACATTTTTATTTTTAGATTATAAAAATTAAAACCAATATAAAAACTAAACAAATTAATTTCTCGCACCTGCTAAGGCATGCTAATATTTATTGGGTTGCCCGAATGGGACCCATATGGGTCCCTCATGGCTTGTATATATGTTAATGCTACGATTTTTATAAAAGATAATAGCAATTTATGCCAAGGTGGTCACACTATAGCTCAAAGTAAACAAGTTCTAAATAAATAAATAAACGAAAAATCGTTTTTCCTTATAGTGCTGTAATATGGGACCCATATGGGTCCAATATGGGCGTACCCAAATGGACTTGCCCATATTGGTCCCATATAGGTCCAATATGGGCATACCCATATGGGCTTGCCTAGATATAGCCCATATGGGTCCCATATATGCATGTTTGCTGGGCTTGGTTAGTTCGTTTCAATTACTGCATAGGAAATGTTGCTATCGAAACTGATGACGGACGTGAAAATCGCTTCAAAATATAAGTGATGAATCACCTGCTAAAAACGATTCCATTTAAAGATTACATGTATGATCGATAATTGATGTGTTGCCTTTTTATCTGTTGGTTATAGGCACTGACCACTTCGTACAGTAGTTCTAAGAGATGATATGCGGTATTGATCATTCAAGGCTGTGTGTTAATTAAGCTTGGTTAGTTCGTTTCAATTACTGCATAGGAAATGTTGCTATCGAAAATGATGACGGACGTGAAAATCGCTTCAAAATATAAGTGATGAATCACCTGCTAAAAACGATTCCATTTAAAGATTACATGTATGATCGATAATTGATGTGTTGCCTTTTTATCTGTTGGTTATAGGCACTGACCACTTCGTACAGTAGTTCTAAGAGATATGACAATCGTATAAATTCTCTGAACATTCGATCGTTGAATATGATAGAACGCTAACAATTGGCTTAATAACAGTTTAATAACAGCACTACTTAAAACAAAAAGCCTTGTTAATCAATCAAACTATGTACATGTATTTAAAATATGACTATATAATTAATATAATTTTTAATAATCACAGATTTGTATAAATAATTATGTATTTATGAACTATGCATAAAACCATTGAGGACTGCGATTAATTATACAATATACAAGTCATGTATAATAATGGAATGTATGGGGTTATGTGTGGTAGAGTATGCTCATGAGGGATAATGCTCTAACGCCCCCTAGCACCAGCTTATATAATAATATTGGCTGTATTCTTCAATTCATAAGGTATTAGAATTAATGATCACAAAGCGAAGAGGCAACATTTAATTGGCTATAATCTGTCCACGCACCTATTTTTAACATTATGATTTGACCCAATATATTATTTCTTCAATATTCATATTTCTCTACAAAATCACTCAGATTACTTCTAGGGTTAGGGTTAGTATTTTGGGTAAGGGTTATGTTTAGAGGGTTATGGGTTAGTGTTAGGATTTAAAACATGGATTATGCTGCGGACATATTCTAAAAGTGCTCCGAGAGCAGTAACAATAAAATGGAAAATATGTACACACCCGTGTTCTCTCTGTGCTAATCAGATCGTATCAACCGCCATATTTATACACTGTCAATTTGGCAGAGAAGCTCAAAACAAATTAAAATGCAAATAAAAACCTGGAAACAAAGTGATTCCTCGGAAGCATTAATCACAACAAAATAACATGAAAATTGCAGGCTTGTTTTGATTGAGTCTGTCCATGAGGGATAATGAATAAGTGCAACATCCCTCACGCCCCTAGCACCGGCTTGAGAGTTCTCAATTCTCAACACTTAATAGTGCTGGCATCAATGATCCCGAAGGACCAGAAAAATATAACAACACTGAAGTGAAGTACGGGACAACTTTTACAGTTGCCACACAGCACTTGATATACCTGCAAATGACAATCCCAGCACATATATAAAGGTTTTATTTTATATACTATCACAGGACCCTGGTTGTATCTCGCCTATGCAGGCACACTTTTCGATGACATTCCGCCGACGGTCACACTTCGTGGCTTCGCAGACGACCATACTATGGACAAATCGTTTTCTCCAAATATACAAAACAGTGAAAAGAATACAATAAGTGATTTAGAAAACGCTGGCGAAACAACGAACAACTGGATGAATTCTAATAAGTTGAAAATGAACACCTCAAAAACCGAATTCATTATGTTTGGGAGTAAGCAACAACTTACCAAATGTGAAACTAAATCTATCAAAATTGTAAACGATACCATCAACAAAGAAAACTGCATTCGATATCTTGGTGCTTTCCTCGACGAAAATTTGAACTTCAAAGAACACGTAAAGCGGAAATGTAGAACTGCCATGATAAATTTTATGCGGATCAAAAACATAAGACAATACCTCACAAAGGAAGCGACAGAGACTCTTGTGTTATCTTTAGTAATGTCTCACTTAGACTACTGTAACTCCATCTTATACGGTATCGCAAACTGTGATTTACAAAAGATGCAAAGGATTCAAAATATGTGTGCAAAGTTAGTTCTTTCAAGATGTAAATATGATAGCTCTAAGCAAGCTTTGTTCGATCTTCACTGGCTGCCAGTAAAGGCAAGAATAAGTTTTAAAATCTTAACTTACATGTTCAATTGTTCGAAGGGAAACGCACCAGATTATCTTACTGAACTTTTAGAAAGCAAATCTGCAAAACGAGTTCTCAGATCATCAGAATGTGTTGACAATTGTTACAATGTTCCTTTCAATAAGAGAAAATCTTTCGCAGACCGTAGCTTTAGTTACATTGGACCTAAACTGTATAATCAATTACCGACAGAAATCAGAAACAGTAACACTATAGAAGCATTCAAGAGAAATCTTAAGACCCACATGTTCAGGGACTATTTCAACTTGTTTTAATTCAAAAGTGAAAAAAGCGCAAATGACGTTTGAAATTTTAAAATTCATAGCTGTGATATGTAGTATATTCTAAAAGTGATTTTTCAATGTGATATTAGTAATCTTTTATCAATTTTTTATTATTCTTGATGCATGATATGTTCTTAACTTGAATTGATACCATTTTACTCATTTTCATTTAAAATCATTCAATAATTTCTTAATATCTGCTCATAACACTGTAACCATTTCTTAATAGTATTTTATTAGAAGTATTTTATTATCATTATTATTGCTGTACAACGCCATTGAATATGAATGTTTTGTAAAAATAGGCGTTTAAGTAAATAAAAAGTTTCAAGTTTCAAGACCATAATTATAAGTCTCTGATATTATTTATGATAATTGTATGTGCTAGGATTTACAAATATACAAATAAATTTATCTACAGTCCTACACCCATAGGGCTTTATAAAGCAAGTGTGGTTTTATTCTGTTTTTATCTATTTTATATACACCTCGTACTCTATCTATTCAAAGTCAGGCGGGAGATGTTTCAGCTGAAAGAGAAGGACGTCTACATATTCATTTTTGATAAGTTTTAGGCAAAGATATTATGCCTAGCGAAGATCTGATCAAAATTGTTCAAGAATAGTATCAATTATACATTCTAATAAACAGACAAGCCATACAAACACGAACATTCAGTAATTATTTATTGCAAATGTTTCGGCTATATCCCTTCATCAGTGCAAAACATGTTTACATTTTTTTAAAATTATAAATTCTAGGAATTTACATAATTTCTTCTACTATAATATATTTTTCTATATCTGTCTTTCTATCTACCCCCGCAAGATTTTCACAAGGTAGGTAGGTAGACTCTATGGTATGTTAGTATTTTGGTAGGTTTGAGGACTGGCAATAGCTAAATTGTATGTGGACCGATGGCCTATATGTCCTGACTACGCACCTGGCTTAGCGACCTAATATCTGGAAATCTATAGATTAATGTAAGTTTTTTTACAAAAGCTGTGTGTACATGCAGACATTAATTTTGAACACGTACTCTGAACACATAATAAACATTATTAAATTTTCAACTGAATTTCTAGACTTAAAATTATGTCGTGGGGTAGCACTCTGCCAGGACGTCGGACGATTTTGTTAACTCATGCAAACCTCATATGCAAAGAACTTTTCAAAATATGTTATAAAAATATTATGAAGATGGCCCTTTTTTGGAAAAAGTACAAAAAGTACAAAACCGAGTCAAAACACAGGTGCGGTCAAGGCGAGAAAAAAATATCAGGGGCGAACCTGTATTTAAAGGGAAATAAATCATGCTGTCCGCTTGCTCATCAGCGGGAACGAAGTGAAAACGAGGCTCCGGAGATTTTCATAACGGAGGCCAACGGTAATTATCTTAGTGTTCATGTAAACAATGCTTCATTATAAGCATTTGTTATAACATTATACATTTCCGTGACAGAGACATCATCCGGACAAAGCTGCAACGGCGTTATGTCCGGCACAGCTGCGTAACAAAGCGAAAGTAAGTGCCTCGAAAAGCAGACATTTTCACGAGGCTTTTGCGTTTACATCCGAAGCATAACAAAACATCTTAGGAGAATTTCGATTAGAATATACATTTTTTTGAATTTGCTAAAGGCAGATCATGTGGAGGAAGATGCACTGTGATCGAAGGTCTGCTGTATCTTTCTTTATTGTTTAACATTTATGTTTATTTTGTGCAGATTAATTAGACGGTGTTACGGTATAATTTGTATCGTGTAACTAATCCATGTGGTTTTTAAATATTTGAATTGACAAATGTTGCATTGTTTTGTCACTAATGCGGAAATGATCCATGTGACAATTCTTACAGAATAGTTAAAACTTTCTTGTGTTAAGTTAGGCTTAAATAAAGGTGACATAAATTATAGATAATGTCTGATAGATCTATCTATTATTCAAGGAAATATGGAGTTGCAAGTTGGGAAGATAACTCTGATTGACTGATAATTTAAACTCTTCAATGTTATAGTAAGTTTAGTAATGGTGGGATAACCTGAATAAGTAAGGCATGAATGTTCTGTTGTGACCATCAGACCACGTTGCATTTTAGTAATTGACATTTAGATTTAAGGTGGCGAGATAGCTCAGTTGGTTAGACGGCTGTCACTCCTGAGGTCCCGGGTTCGATCCTGTGTTACACCCTTGGCAGGGCTTTTTTTCCTTCTATAGCAGGGGCCGGTATAGGGCTGCTTCCCCAAAGAAAAATTCTTTAAAATCATGCAGTTTTCCCCAAAAATTGAATTACATAAAGTTTTTTCTTCCCCTTTTGCAAATATACCGTGTATTTTTCCCCCAAAATTAAGGGCTGGGCTGCTTTCCCAACCTGTGAAAAAAAGCCCTGCTTGGGATTTTTCATAGACACTTTCAGTGTTTCCCACCTAACTAGAGGTGTACTGGTAAGAAATTCAGGTATTCCTCGCATGTATTAGTACTATACACTGGACATTTAAAGAACCAAGGGGTCTTTTAAATAAGAGCTAAGGACTGGTTCGCGGATTCCCTTGTATCTCATAGCTGTATCTGAAGTGAAAAGTCTATAGAGTTATGTCTACGACCCTGAGGGGTTTGACATTAATGGAAGATAGATTGATAGACAACTGAAATGAAGTCAAATAGGGCTTTTTATGCAGGGGCGCTTACCTTAAAGTTGGGGTAACATGGTATTCTTGTTTCATGCATAAGGGGAAGAAAACATAATTTAAATTAATGAATGATAAACCTGCAATTTGACTATTTAAGTCACTAGATGGCGCTGGGGCAGATTTTCATGGTATTTTTGATATGCTTCACATCTAACAGCCCTTTTTTTTGAAATAGTGAATTAACCAAGAAGTATTTTGCCTAAAACTTTTTGTGTAACTTCTTTGCAACATTTGAAATAAATTGGAAGAGAAAATTTCATAAAAAATTTTCTTAAATGTACTTTGTGAGAAAAATATCAGTTAACTGTCAAAAATTTGAAAATCCCAGTGCAGAGTAAATGGGTCATGAACAGAACCTCAGATTGTAAACAAATACACATGTATGGCAGTGTAGAAGCTTGAAATATTACTGTAGGCATCTGTTTGGGAGGGGAGCTGATCAGTAATATTCTGCTATAGTGTTTGTTTACATCAGCTAAATTTAGCACATGTACAGCGCCCCCTGCATGAGTGATGGTTATTTTATATGATAAACATGCATACAAAATTCTCCCTACCAGGGCAGGGATTTTGTGGCTTTAAGGAAAAAAGCATGATTTTTTAAGAATTGATTAAGGGGAAAAATACTTTTTAAAAGCTTTTTTGGCATTGGAAACATAAAAATATATGTAATATGGAAAACTAATTGTATAATAGTATTTATAGAGCCACTTTGGCCATAATATATTCTAAAATTGTCTCATAGGATCCAGAAAAAGCAATTGATTGATCCTGTTTAATTTTATTAAAGATTTTTTCTTATAGAACATTTAGGTTTTGCTAAACATTTTGTCAACAATTCTTAGCTAAAACCATTATTTAATCTTGGATTAAGTAAAAAGCACAAAAAAATGAAAAGAAAAACTATTAAAAATTAGGACACTCAACTACAAAACAAGTTGTGTATGAATGTTAGTGGATATGTTTGCAATTACTTGCAGCAAAACCTACATATATTGGAACAGAACACACACGTTTGATCAGTACCTGGCCACTGGCAATTAACCAGATTTTTTAAAAACTTTTATCAGGTGATAAGGCAATGGATCAAGATATGGAAGCTGATGAATTCTTCCCAGATAAGTTGATGCCAGAAGCTGAATCTGTGGAAACTTCCGTTGATATAAGTAAAGATTCTGAGATTGTAGAGAAATGTGGTGCCCAGGCGATTGCTGGTGAAAGTGTTGTCAATGGTAATGATGGAGGCAGGGTAATTGAGGATATGGAAACTGATGAACCAACCTCAGTACCAGGTAAAGTGAACATATTTGTTCTAGTGGTATTCTTTATTGTTTTTTTGCTCACCTGAGCTGGCTCAGGGTGAACTTTTAGGATCATTAATGTCCGTCGTCGGTCGTTCGTACACATTTAGTTTGTTAATACTCTAATGGTCACATTTTTGCTTCAATTGTCATCAGACTTAGTCAGGATGTTTGTCCAAGAAATTGTTCATGATTCATTTAGGATGTAAAACTAGGTCACAGAAGCTTAGAATAGAAAAATCTTCAAAACACTCAAGTGGCTACTGTTTAGGTCCAAATATATTTGAAATTGGTCAGAATGGTTGTTTTTATGATTTCTAGCTTAAGTTTGAATATAGGTCTGACACTTTGGGTCAAAAACTAGGTCACAAAGCCTAACTATAGAAAAACCTTGTAAACACTCTAGGGGGTACTGTTTCTGTCCAAATATCATGGAAATTGGTCAGAAAGGATGATAACATGATTTCTAGCTCAAGTTAGAATGTTGGTCATCTGGGGTAAAATAGTAGGCATACAGCCCAAATGTGCGAATGTTTTGTTTACACTCTTGAGATAATATTTTTCATCCTTAATAACCTGACAATTTATCAGAAATATTGTTTGTATGATTTCTAGCTCAAGTTCGAATATGAATCATCTGCGGTCAAAAACTAGGTCACACAGCCCAAATGTTGAAAAACCTTGTGAAGACTCTAGAGGCTACTATTTCAGTCCAGATATCCTGGAAATTGGTTAGAAAATTTCTAGCTCAAGTTGGAGTCAAACAGCCCAAATATTGAAAAGCCTTGTTAACATTTTAGAGGCAATATTTTCAGCTCAAATGTGCTTGATATTGGTCAGAAAGGTTATGTTGATTTCTAGCTGAACTTTGAATATGGGTCATCTGGGGTCCAAATATGGAAACACTTTGTTTATACTATAAATGTAATATGTTAATTCCAAATGTCATGCTAATTTGTCAGCAAGGTTGTTAAAATATTTCTATGTCAAGTGAGAATATGGGTCATCTTGGGTCAAAAACTAGGTGACAGCCCATATATATGGAATAACCATTATTTACATTTGCACTATTTCAGGTGCAGATAAGAAAGTGATATCAGTTTAAGATTATGAAATTTTATCTGATTTTTCTTTATTGCTAACAATATTAATTAAGAGCCTTAATAATCAGGTGAGCGATATAAGGGCCATAATTGCCCTCTTGTTTATTGTAATATTTCAATTTCACAATTTTTTTTTCTTTTCTGAAATTTGACTAACTATATTGAATATTGAAGCAGTATGTCATAACTTTGCAAAGTACATGTGATTATTAGTATTTTGAATTTCAATGGACTTCAGCATTTCACCATGTAAAAATAGCTGACTGCAGTGATGAAAATTTATTTAAACTAAATATACATGTAATTAAATTACATTTATACATTTGATAATTAACAGTACTATGTGACAAGTATACAATTATTATTCACCATATAGTATAGCTTGAGAAAGCTCAATTCATTATGTGCATATGATGCAGATTTCAAAATGTTAGAAAATAGCCATTTTATTTTGGCCAAAATTTTGGCAATTGATGGTAAAACAAAAAATCATATTCTTGATGTTGATTTATTGTTGTTAAAAGTATTAACAGTTAATTTTTGAGGTCTTCTTGTAGAGATGAATATGGAGACAGAAGGATGCAGTTCAGAGTTGCCAAATGATTTAGAGGAGCTTGTCACTGAAACAACAGAGGAAGAAAATAAAAACATAAATGAAGAAGCAGCAGCACCCAATGAGGTAGAAACATTTGGACATGATTCAGGTGAACCAAAACCATCTTATGAAAATGTAAACCAAGAGGTTAATGAACAAGACTCTAATGATAAAACAGAAAATAACCAAAATGACATTGATAATAATCTAGATCTAGAATCTAATAAGCCATGTGATGATGTTGCAAGTGCTAGTGTAGATGAATATAATTCTAATGCTGATGATATAAAACAAGGTGAGGAAAATAGTAATTATGCAGAGGACACTTTCAATGTTAATGATGAATTGAGCAATGCAAATGAAAGTGAAGAATTGAATAAAGATAATGATGATGTATTGGATTTAGAAGAACCATTAACGCAGAGTGAAGATACTGAAGTTGTAAGTGGTGCAATAGTTAATGATAAAGAAACAGAGAATATTGATGAAACAGTAGGGTTAGTTGAAGACAGAAACACTGAAGCAAAAAGCATTGGAGATACTTCTCCACATATATCGTTTCCACAAAATATAGAAGATATTTCAGAAGATAGTTTAAAAAGTAGTAACCCTGACAAAACTGATCAGTTTGGAAGTATAGAAGGTACATCTGGTCAAGGCAATGAAACAGAGTTTAATTTGAATGTAGAAACTGGAAAAAAAGATCTTGTTGATGATGATGATGATGAAGAAATAGTGCTTATAGATACTGGTGAAGATAGCACGGATAACCTGGGTAAATAAAGTTAAAAATTTGATTATACAATTAAATTTGTTAATAATAATATTTATATTAGAAATTGTATTGAAATGAAACTTCCATTGTGTGAATTCAACAGTTGGGTATATATATCCTTGTGATTGCAAATCTGTTCATCTCTCCCTGATAATCAGTTCCCCTGCAATTTCATATATGAGCCGCGTCAGGACAAAAGCAACATAGTGCGTTTGCGACAAGCATGGATCCAGACCAGCCTGCGTGGATGCGCAGTCTGATCAGGATCCATGATATTCGCTTACAAACCCTATTACAAGTAGAGAAACTGATAGCGAACAGCATGGATTCTGATCAGACTGCGGTTTGGATCCATGTTGGTTGCAAACACACTATGTTGATTTTGTCATGGCGCTGCTCATATATTTATTGTGATATTATTTAGTCAGGCCTTTCTTTGTATGCCAGATCTTCATATCACAATAAAATTGGACACTGGTCATCATCCTAAGGCATGTTAATGGAAGTTGAAATAAATATTTTTAGATGGATTCTTGAAATAATTTGAGTATTGAAATTTTAATGTTTTATTGAAAGCTGGGCATAATTTACACATGTACTGTGAATAGTTTAATCACTTTAATGTTTGAACTGAGTTAGTGTAAACTTGTTTCTTATGAAAATAGATTAAAAGGAAACATGGATGAAAATTGCTTTGATATTGTGAAATTTGAACAGTAACCATTTGATAATTGCAGGAGATGAACCAAGATTAAAGGAGAAAGATCTAACAGAGACTGCTGTAAATAACCAAGGAGAAAGTAATTCTGAGCTTAATCAGGTATTTACTGTACATATGTAGGTATTAACATTATAAATGTGGGTATTTCTATATGGGAGTCTTTTTGGAAATATCCCAGCACCAACAAAGTAATGGAACATATGGGTAAACATGAATTTAAGGTTATTGAAATTGCTCTTTTTATATGCCCGAAACAATTTCGGGCATATTATGTTATACCCCCTGGCGTCCGTCCGTCTGTTGGTTAGCAATTTGGTTACCGGAGCATAACTTAAGTTCCATTTGGCCCACAATATTCAAACTTCATAGGATGATTGTCCATATTGGGTTCAAAGGCTCCTATTGATTTTGGGGTCACATGGTCAAAGGTCAAGGTCACTATTACCTTTACACTTAAAACAGTTTCCTGAGCATAACTTAAGTACCATTTGGCCCACAATATTCAAACTTCATAGGATGAGTCCATATTGGGTAGAAGACCCCTATTGATTTTGGGGTCACAAGGGCAAAGGTCAAGGTCGCTATTACCTTAGAACTGAAAACAGTTTCCGCTCAATAGCTTAAGTAGTAATCAACCTACAGCTGTAAAATTTTATAGTATGAACAGCCATGTCCAATATATCCATCCATCGTAGCATTTTTACTTACAAGATAACAACTTGATGGTCGTGCTTTAGAATTAGCAACTGTATATATATGAAGGTTCTTCAGTTATAAAGGAGGATTGCTTTTTTGAAGGAGGTAATACTTTATTTAATTCCCATGTCTTATCAAAACAAAACAAACACTTTCAGGCATATAATGCTCCGCCTAGAGTTGCTCTTGTTTTAACTTTCTCACATGATAAATGCACATATATTCTAGTGTTGTCGAATTAGTCATTAGTTCAAGAAATTGCTCAAATGTTATGTTTTTCTGTGGGTGACATAATTAATTGTTATCAATTTATGATCAATAACAACTTGTGCACTGCATACAATGTAAGGAAACATCTGTTCAGACATTGGGTGGAAAAGTGGCTTTAAACAATTTAGAGAGTACTGAAGTCAATAAAGTGGAAGGGGAGATAATGTTCCAAAAGTAAAGAGGAAATAAATGTAACCAGTTTTTTCTTAAGCACAAAAATGGCACAAATTGTATTTGCTGTTTAACTTCATATTCTGCCTTTTGCACTGGAAGATTTGATAATGCACTATTATTTATGTATATTTAAAGCTTGATATAGACTATATGACTTGGCATTGAAGGATATCTGATGGATAGTTTATGGGCTCCTGTCTGAGTTTAAATTTAAAAGCTTTAGCAAAAGCAAAACCATTATCATGTCGATAAAAAAATAAAAATCATTGTTCCCTTAAATGTAACTTTTATAGGAAAAAGAAACTTCTCCAAATACTGAAATTGAGACAGATAATAAGGACTCTGGAGATACAGAGGGACTTGATTTAGAACAAAATGAAGATAATGTTAATATCAATGAAGAAATTGATGAAGAAGAACTGTTGGGTGAACCAGAGCATTCAGTGGAAGAAATAGCTGATAAAGATAAATCAACTGATATTGTAGAAAGTAATGATGCAAGTAATGAAGGTAGTAGACAGGAAATTTCAGAAGAAAGTGAAAGAGCAGGTGAAGTTGATACTGAAACAGTGGAAATTTCAGAAGAAAGTGAAAAAGCAGGTGAAGTTGATACTGAAACAGTAGTTGATACTGAAACAGTGGAAATTTCAGAAGAAAGTGAAAGAGCAGGTGAAGTTGATACTGAAACAGTGGAAATTTCAGAAGAAAGTGAAAAAGCAGGTGAAGTTGATACTGAAACAGTGGAAATTTCAGAAGAAAGTGAAAAAGCAGATGAAGTTGATACTAAAACAGTGGAAACTGATGAAGCAGCTGAATCCAAGGAAGGTATGGAAATTATTGAAGATGTTAGTAATACAGACGGGGATCTAGGAAACAAAGATGAAGAAATCAGTAATACAAATGAAAACTTTGGTGATACAAGTGCTGAAATAAGCAACATTGTTGATGAATCTAGAAATATAGATGAAGAAATAAAGAATGCAGGAGAATTAGATAAGGTAGAAGAAGAGAACGAAAAGATTTTAGAGGATACCTATGTTGAGATGCAAGAAGAAGATATGGATGTTGAAACAGAAAGGACTGAGTCTAAAGCAGAGGAGTCTGAGAACATGGATATTGTTGAAATACCTGAAGATACAAATGCTGATAAGGTTGAGGGAAATGAAAACATTGAAGATAAGAATATAGAACAGGTATTGATTCCTCTGAATACTTATTACATTATTTTTTGTAAAGTCAAAGTAAGTAAATGCACAAAGGGCAGAAGGTGTACTTTGTACTTTAATTTTAAAATTACTAATCAAGTTTATCAGTGAAAAAGGATTTAATGAAACATTTTGCCATATTGATACTTTAATGGTTGTTGACATAAAGGAGTCCTTATAGTGAAACATACAGAAAAAATGTACTGTAACATCAAGTAATATCAATAGACTAAATTTTGTTCTACTCTTGGTTAATGATTTTATAATTTTTCAGTTGATATTCTATATAATTGTCTGGAAACTTTTGGTTTTTTTAAGTATTTTGACTTGAATAATTAAAGTTTTAATCATATATAATATTGGGAAATTAGTATATAATACTGGAATAAACTTAACAAAACCTTTTTGAAAATAAAACATTAACTTATATTGAGATCATATAAATCAAATTAACAGTGCATTGATTCCGAAGTTAAATAGATTGCGAGTGATAAAATTCCCATAAATGGAGGTCTTTGTGGAAATAGATGTTTGCTGCGTAACTACCATATAGATTTAACAGCTTTGATTGTAGAAATTCACATATATAAACTCACCAATTAGACTGTATTTACAGTATGCCTAAAAAAATGTAGGGGGAATTATTTAAAGTTTCAGGGAATTTTCTACAGTACTGTTCATAGAGCTAAGATGCCTACATGTATATTTATGCTATATTGTTAATGGTGGAAGGTTTCATTTCAACAGAATAAAAGTCATAAGCTCTGCTTACTAATTTTACAATACATATAACAACACTGCTGTAGAGGGATTTTTCATTAGTTAAATAAATTTAAGTTTTGTATAATTTAGTTTGTATCCCTGAATAACTTCAGAAAACCAACATTTTGTAAAGTCTCTGATAAAAGGCTTTTGCCTTAAAATCTGTTTATCAATGTAGCATTAGAATATTTTGACAGTTTATGCTATGTTGCCATAACAACTAGAATTAACTCTGCAATTTTACATTGAAGAAGATAAAGCACATAAATACAATTCTTAGAAGTAGAGATAAATGTTCATGGATTATAAGAAAATATAAGGACAACCTAAAACATATATTTTATGAGTACCAGCATTGTTAGGGAATGTTATTAAGAAGTATGAAATTAAAAATCTATAACAATTTATTAGACAGTCAGAATGAAGTACTATATACTAATGTCAATTGGAATTGTTTACAGGAACAGATTAAGGAGTCAAAAGAAGTTAAAGAAGAAATGATAACAGATACAGAATGCAAAGATCAGGTTACTCCTGAGACAGAAACAACTGATACAGCGGCTGTATTTAACTCTGTAACACTTAAATCAGAACAGAGTTCCGCTCCATCAGAGATATGTAACAAGACATCAGAAACTACGACCAGTCAACCGGACAGTTTACCCTCCACTGAAACCAGTATGCAACCAGATACAGTCAACAAATCAGAGGTTCAGTTTACCGATGAAACCTCTAACCAATCAGAGGACAAAAGTCATATTAATGTCACACCCTCTGGTGACAACTCCAACCAATCAGAAACTGTCAGTCAACATGAGGCCACACCTTCTGATGATAATTCTAACCAAACAGATGGATCTTCCAGTAGAAAATCACCAGCATTTGACATGTCTACTATTAAGATCAAGAATGAAAGAACGGATAGCACAGAATCAGGTATGTGTGCCTTGCACTGTAACAGCAAAAGATTTGTATCTTGTAAGTAAGCTGTTGTCCCAATGAATAAAACTGTTTCATTTCCAAAAGATTATTATTAAAGGGAACAGGTGACCTAGTGGTAAATGTGTCTGACAACCTAGGGTCTTTGGTTTGAGCCTTACTTGGGTAACTACCATATTTCTTCTCATGGTACCAGTACTGGTTTGTTATGAGAGAAGTTCAAAAAGCTATCAAACTTTTATCTTAATCAATATAAAATATTTTACCTTTTATAAATTAATCTGTAATCTTTCCTCTCAATATAGTGTAATTTTTAGCTCGACTATACGAAGTATATGGAGAGCTGTCCTACTCGCCCCGGCGTCCGCGTCCAGATTTTAGATTAAAGTTTTGGTGCAGTAAAATATTTTTCACTATAACTTTGTCATTTCTTAAGGTATCAACTTCAAACTTCAAATATATGTTCCTTATCATCAACCCCATCTTATGTGACAAGGTTCATAACTCTAGCACCAATATTTTCAGATTTATCTCCCCTTGAACTTAGAATTTTCCTTAAAAAATACTATTTTTTACTGTTATTTCTTTATTTCTTAAGGGATCAACCTCATACTTCAAATATATGTACCTTATCATCATCCCCATCTTATGTGACAAGGTTCATAACTCTAGCACCAATATTTTCAGATTTATCTCCCCTTGAACTTAGAATTTTCCTTAAAAAATACTATTTTTTACTGTTATTTCTTAAGGGATCAACCTCATACTTCAAATATATGTACCTTATCATCATCCCCATCTTATGTGACAAGGTTCATAACTCTAGCACCAATATTTTCAGATTTATCTCCCCTTGAACTTAGAATTTTCCTCAAAAAGTACTATTTCTTACTGTTTCTTCTTTATTTCTTAAGGGATCAACCTCATACTTCAAATATATTTACGTTATCATCATCCCCATCTTATGTGACAAGGTTCATAACTCTAGCACCAATATATTCAGATTTATCTCCCTTTGAACTTAGAATTTTCCATAAAAAATATTTTTTTTACTGTTACTTATTTATTTCTAAAGGGATCAACTTCATACTTCAAATATATTTACGTTATCATCATCCACATCTTATGTGACAAGGTTCATAACTCTAGCACCAATATTGCAAGAATTATATCCCCATAAACTTAGATTTTTTTACTAGAAAAATGTTATTTTTTATTATAACTTTTTTATTTTTAAAGGTATAGATCTACCTTAAACTTCAAATACTTATTCCTTATCATCAATTACATTAAATGTGACAATGTTCATAACTCTTGAAGCAATATTTACACATTTACCTCTCTTTGAACTTAGGATTTTCTTTAAGAAATATAAAAACTTCTTTAATTTTTAAGGTATCTACTTCAAACTTCAAATATATACATGTATTTCTTATCATTACACAAATGTTGTTTGACAAGTTCCATAACTCTAGCATGACTATTTCTAGAATTATTCCCCTTGATCTTGGAATTTATGTTAACAAATATTATTTTTTTACTATAACTTAATACATAATTATACATAATTGATTTTTCTTTCATAGTTTTGTCCTCCTTACTGCGTCCAGTATTTTATTAGTCGAGCTTCGCTGTCTCCTGTGACAGCTCTTGTTAATAGTTTATGCCCTGGGCTAGAGTATGGTCAGGCCAGCCTGATTTCATCATGGAAATCAAATTGGTTACTGATAGACTTTGTTACTGTAGATGTTAACATTGTAAATAAGGAAACGAAATTGAATTTAGACTTCTTCTATTATTTATATTGACAAAATGTGTAACCTTTTTTCTACACAGACTGTTTATTACTTTGAAAATAAAGTGGACGGCTTTTTGTTACTATTCACTTGCACATTTATTTAACTCATTAACTGATAAGCCAAGCCAAAAAAGTAGTAATCTGTAAAGGAGGGTCAAGTTTAATTATATACTTATTCATAGTTCAATGCAAGCTAAATTATTTAATCATGATATTTGTATTTAGATAAAGCAAATGGAGGTGAAAATTCACAATCAGGGGAGAGTAATCTGAAGATAGTTGATGTAATGTCATCTGTTGGTGAAGATGACAAGGGAGATAAGTCTGAACAGACTTCTGATACTGTTACAGCCAAGGGAGATAATGCTGCTGAAAAAGATAAAACTATACAAGACAATGCTGTTGATGAAAAGGTAATGCTTTTCATTTTTATGCCCCCACAATGTGGGAGCATATAGCGTTGCACTTGTCCGTCCGTCCGTCCGTACGTCCCGAAATCTTGTGAACGCAACTCCTCTTAAACCGGATGGCAGATTTTGCTTAAACTTACAGGGATGAACAACCTTAATGTGTAGATGGTAGTAAAGGAAGGAATTTTCGCTGCGACCAAATTTAACAGAATTATGGCCCTTTGTTGATTTTTTCACTAGATACTATGTAGAAATTTTGTGAACGCAACTCCTCTTAAACCAGATGGCAGATTTTGCTTAAACTTACAGGGATGAACAACCTTAATGTGTAGATGGTAGTAAAGGAAGGAATTTTTGCTGCGACCAAATTTAACAGAATTATGGCCCTTTGTTGATTTTTTCACTATATACTATGTAGAAATTTTGTGAACGCAACTCCTCTTAAACCGGATGGCAGATTTTGCTTAAACTTACAGGGATGAACAACCTTAAGGTGTAGATGGTAGTAAAGGAAGGAATTTTTGCTGCGACCAAATTTTACAGAATTATGGCCCTTTGTTGATTTTTTCACTATATACTATGTAGAAATTTTGTGAATGCAACTCCTCTTAAACCGGATGGCAGATTTTGCTTAAACTTCCAGGGATGAACAACCTTAATGTGTAGATGGCAGTAAAGGAAGGAATTTTTGCTGCAACAAAATTTAACAGAATTATGGCCCTTTGTTGATTTTTTAGCCAGGTTTTCCGAAGGAAAAAACTGGTTATTAGATTGAGGTATGTCGGCGGGCGGGCGGGCGGATGGGCGGACGGGCGGGCGCAAACAATTTCTTCTGTGCGCAACTCCTCCTACATTTCTCAACGGATTTTGACCAAACTTTCACAGAAGCTTTGTCATCAAGTGCCCTGGCGCATATTGTCGGGGTTTTGCGATTAGATAATATTTGACCTAATTATGGCCCTTTGTTTTTTTCCTTATATAAAATATATAGTGAACAATTTCTTCTGTGCGCAACTCCTCCTACATTTCTCAACGGATTTTGACCAAACTTCCTCAGAAGCTTTGTCATCAAGTGCCCTGACACATATTGCCAGGGTTTTGCAATTGGTATATATTTGACCTAATTATGGCCCTTTGTTTTTTTTCCTTATATAGAATATATAGTGAACAATTTCTTCTGTGCGCAACTTCTCCTACATTTCTCAACGGATTTTGACCAAACTTTCACAGAAGCTTTGTCATCAAGTGCCCTGGCGCATATTGTCGGGGTTTTGCGATTACATAATATTTGACCTAATTATGGCCCTTTGTTTTTTTTCCTTATATAAAATATATAGTGAACAAGTTCTTCTGTGTGCAACTTCTCCTACATTTCTCAACGGATTTTGACCAAACTTTCTCAGAAGCTTTGTCATCAAGTGCCCTGACACATATTGCCAGGGTTTTGCAATTGGTATATATTTGACCTAATTATGGCCCTTTGTTTTTTTTCCTTATATAGAATATATAGTGAACAATTTCTTCTGTGCGCAACTCCTCCTACATTTCTCAACGGATTTTGACCAAACTTTCTTAGAAGCTTTGTTATCAAGTGCCTGGCACATATTGTCGGGGTTTTGTGATTGGATAATATTTGACCGAATAATGGCCCTTTGTATATTTTTTCCTTATACAGAATATATAGAGAACAATTTCTTCTGTGCTCAACTCCTCCTACATTTCTCAACAGATTTTGACCAAACTTCCTTAGAAGCTTTGTTATCAAGTGCCTGGCACATATTGTCGGGGTTTTTTGATTGGATAATATTTGACCGAATTATGGCCCTTTGTATATTTTTTCCTTATACAGAATATATAGTGAACAATTCTACAGTGCGCAACTTCTCCTACATTTCTCAATGGATTTTGACCAAACTTTCACAGAAGCTTTGTCATCAAGTGCCCTGGCGCTCACTAAATTCCCATGTTTCTTCCAAGACATCATTCAAGTATTTTTTTAAAATTGTGTACATACTTTTCTTGATATCGCACAAAACACCACACGCCAATATTGTTGACAAAAGAAAATGACAAGAGACGCAAAAATGCAAAAATTAAGCAAAAATAAAGTACTGTTTACCATTCTAAAACATTTGGGAAAAAAAGGCGAATAGACAACATAAAATTTCTCAATCATTTTTGTTTGAGGAATATTAAAAAAGCCATAATTCCTCCTAAAAGTTCAATTAAAAACAAATGCCCCTTCATGACAAAGCTTCTGTGAAATATTTTGCTGAAAACCTGGTTGCATCGCATTGCGATGTTCCTTGTTCATTATATACTATGTAGAAATTTTGTGAACGCAACTCCTCTTAAACCGGATGGCAGATTTTGCTTAAACTTCCAGGGATTAACAACCTTAATGTGTAGATGGTAGTAAAGGAAGGAATTTTTGCTGCGACCAAATTTAACAGAATTATGGCCCTTTGTTGATTTTTAGTTTTCAACTTGTGGCACATGTAGTCCAAAAAATATTTGACCTAGAGTCATAAGATTGACAGAACAGCGGCGTGTGGGGGCATCCGTGTCCTATGGACACATTTCTAGTTTGTTTCTGTCAAATTTAAGATAATTCTTGTTGGCAGTTTCAAGGGCATTAAAGGCCTCATGTTCAATTCATTTTGAATTTTGTATATACATATAGATATTAGTGTAATATCTAATCATGCAAAAGGCTTGGATGCTAGTTGAAAAGCATGTGTTGTTTGGGGATCTGGGACCTTCATATGACTGTTTTTCCTTGTTTCATTTTAATGTAAAAATGTTGATATTTTATGGAAAAATTTTGATCACATGTGGGAATTGGAAAGGTACCATATTGCATGGGGAAAAATGCCCACTCTCTGACTTACTATTAGACAAGCTTTCAACATTTACTATCAAGGACTGAGTAAGTTAAACATTATATATGAGAATATCAGGTTTTTATTGAATCATTGAACATATTTGTGTGTGAGTGAAAGTTTGATATGTTATTGTTTAATAACAGGTTAAAGTGAAACAAGAATCTGCACTAACAGCTACGCAGAAAGATAATGAAAAGAAAGTGGTTGTTGATCAGAAAAAGAAAGTCAAGCAAGAGTCTATTAAAGGTATGATTATTAATTTATCGTTTCTATATTGCTTGTTTTATTTTGCTGCTTATTTTACAGCAGATTACGTATATTATCTGATGAAGAAATTTTTGATAAATACCCTCTGTTTTATCAATGAGAAGAATAAATTAAGAAATCAGTTCTAAAACAATTATGGAGTTGGGGTGCTTAAATATTTGTACTAAACTGATATAACATTTTATAAACTGATTCCCAATAGATTGATAAATGATATATTTATATGTCACGAGATAGTGATTGCCAAGCACTCTGAAATAACTGTATAGTTCCTTTAGTAATCTCCCCTTGATCTGTCACACATATTTGAAACATTATATAATATATGATTCAGAAATGTATTTAATTGTTTAGAATAAAACAACAAAAGACTGATCATTTAAATAGTAACCTGTATATGAAATGAATACAGTTCAACCCCGGTTATTCAACAATCCTTTATTTGAATACCCGGCATCATCCGAAGAAGATCGGCGGTCCCGTTTTTATCTCTATATAAATCAATATAAATACGAGCGTATTACTCGAAATGCATTTTCCGATTACCTCCTATTTTTCGAAGTAAAATTTCGGTCCCGATTATACAATTATGAAAGAATTTCACACCTATTATTCGAAGCCAGACTAATTATTATTTGAAGCCAGACTAATTGGTGCAGATACATTCGCTGACTGGTCGACTTGTGAAAAAATATCAACAGTCATACGTGTATTTAGACAATCGTGATAATTACCCTTTGTGTGTTCTAAAATCAACTTTAATTACCGAAAAAGAAAAGCTTAGTGAACCCTGTCCGATTTTGTAACTGTTATTGCTTGAAGATGACAGCAATAATTTTCATACATACCGTATATGTGAATTTGTCAAAACATCCAAACATTTTTACGCCCCCACAAAGTGGGAGCATATAACGCTGCACTTGTCCGTCCGTCTGAACGTCCTGAAATCTTGTGAACGTAACTCCTCTTAAACTGGTTGGCAGATTTTGCTTAAACTTTCAGGGATGAACAACCTTAATGTAGATGGTAGTAAAGGAAGGAATTTTCGCTGTGCCCAAATTTAACAGAATTATGGCCCTTTGTTGAATTTTTCATTATACACTATGTAGAAATTTTGTGAACGCCACTCCTCTTTTACCGGATGGCAGATTTTGCTTAAACTTCCAGGGATGAACAACCTTAATGTGTAGATGGTATTAAAGGAAGGAATTTTTGCTGCGACCAAATTTAACAGAATTATGGCCCTTTGTTGATTTTTTCACTATATACTATGTAGAAATTTTGTGAACCCAACTCCTCTTAAACCGGATGGCAGATTTTGCTTAAACTTCCAGGGATGAACAACCTTAATGTGTAGATGGTATTAAAGGAAGGAATTTTTGCTGCAACCAAATTTAACAGAATTATGGCCCTTTGTTGATTTTTTCACTATATACTATGTAGAAATTTAATTTTGTGAATGCAACTCCTCTTAAACCGGATTGCAGATTTTGCTTAAACTTACAGGGATGAACAACGTTAATGTGTAGATGGTAGTAAAGGAAGGAATTTTTGCTGCGACCAAATTTAACAGAATTATGGCCCTTTGTTGATTTTTAGTTTTCAACTTGTGGCACATGTAGTCCAAAAAATATTTGACCTAGAGTCATAAGATTGACACAACAGTGGCGTGTGGGGGCATCTGTGTCCTATGGACACATTTCTAGTTTTTATTAATTGTAACGCTACATGAGAGCCTTAACTCTAATCGAAAATACCAGAGTTAAGCTGTAAATACCGTTGTGACAACACGGCCATTATCAAGGCTTCGATACATGTAGAATAAAATGCAAGTCTTTATGTCTTCGATGCCAATAAAATAATTTTTACGCATCTTATCTTTAATATTTATTTTTCTCAGTTGATTGCAGGAAGTAAGTTTGTTGTAAACGGTAGTTTTGCTATGATTGGTCAAAGTGGAGTAGTTTTCGTCTATCACAAAAATCCGATTTCAATTATTCGAACCCATCGATTATTTAAAGTAAATATACAGTCCCAGGCACTTCGAATAAACGGGGTTGGACTGTACCTCCTTAAAAATGATTATTTGTGTAAAATAATTTTGTGTATGTAAATTTTAGCAAAGGAAGAAGAAGATGATGATGTGATTGCTATTAAAGAGGAAAAGAAACCAGTCCTGAAACCAAAACCATCTAAAATACAGACCTGTATTGTATGTGCAAAGGTGAGCTTCCTGTTCTACAATGTTACCATATATGAGCCGCATCAGGACAAAACCAACATAATGCATTTGCGACCAGCATGGATCCAGACCAGCCTGCGCATAGTCTGATCAGGATCCATACTGTTCGTTTACAAACCCTATTACAAGTAGAGAAACTGATAGCGAACAGCATGGATCCTCATCAGACTGGTCGCAAATCCATTATGTTGGTTTTGTCATCACGCAGCTCGTATTACACACAATGATACATATTAAATGCCCAGTCAGTTTTGTGCAGTAAATAAATAAAATTTCAAATTCTGAAGCGCTGCATTGTAATGATTGATTGAGCTTGAATAGATGTAACCAATAGATGCTAGAACTACATTTTGGATCATGGGAAAGTCAATATGACAAAGTCTAGTTTATTTTAGTAAAAATCTATAGGTTTAACATTTCTATTTTAAGTTTAAATCTGTACTGAAATTAATAAAAAAAATCTGTCAGTGCTAGTGACAATAATGCCACCCAGACACAGTGGAGCCAACCTAATCATTGTGCATAACTGTAGAAGTATAGAAAATTTAAAAAGTTTAACATTTTTAATCCAAAGCAAAACAATAAGGAGCATGCAGGTCAATAAAATTAGCTTTTCAAGATTGAATTATGAATTTTGTTATGAATAGAAGTGTTTAAATTGAATTTGCTTGTATCAAAAGGTTGGGAAATGCAAATATAACATAGTTAGAAATGGAGATGTGAAACATCTGTGTGATGATACCTGCTTCAAACAATTCCGTAGCAGTCCAACAACTTACCTGAAACAGGCCGAGTCAGCTGCCCAGGCCCAGACTAAAACTGAAAACCAGACCAACAGTAAACCAGCCCCTACACCCGCCAAAAATAGTGTACCAGTCAAGTCAGTACAAAACCAACAAACAGCATTCCAGCCGGTTTGTTTAACTTGTTACTTCATCGTATTGCTTTCATTTGTGTATAAAAATGCCCTCCAGAAATGAAAATATTGCAGTGATATCTGCCTACTTTCAAACAATTTCTTCCAAAACTTTTAATATCGTAAGAGTTAAATTAAATGATATAATTCCATAGAACTTGATTTCAACATTTTATACTATTACATATATTGGTAATTGAATGTATATTTTCCATATGTGAAAGACTTTTATATTAAGTATCCATTTTGTGGTTATTTTTAGCAGTCACAAGTTTACAAAACGTGCACAGTGTGCCAACTGATGAATGTCCGCACTTCAAAACCGTTCCTAAACTGGCAAGGTCTCGACTTTTGTGGTGAAGAATGTCTCGGGAAGTATCAAGGTGGACTAAGTAGCAATTGTAGCTATTGCTCTGGGCCAATCTTCCCAAATAACAAAGCTAAGTTTTGTTGTCGTGTTGGTAACGAAGTGAAACACTTCTGTAGCGTCAACTGTAACAATGATTATGTAAAACGAATGAAACTTTGTGCATTCTGTAATAAAGACTTGGCTCAGAGCACAGATTCTTTTATGGCACCTGTTGGTGAAACATTTAAAGATTTTTGTAGCCAAAGCTGTCTACAGAAGTTTGAAGAAAAGAACAGTAAAGATGTTGAAATAGTGGGTGTGCAAAAAGGACAAAAGGCAACTAAAGCACCTAAGGGCAATTTTGTATGTGCGGTGTGCGGGAAAGTTGGACCAGTGAAGCATGAGTTTAAATTAGACTCGAAAATGAACCGATTATGTAGTGATCCGTGCTTCTCAGCATTCCAGTATGCAAATAAACTGACACTAAACACGTGCGATAATTGTGGTACAAATTTAAATGCGGAAAACCAAGCTCCACAATATGTACAGTTTGAAGGACAGCAGCGAAGGTTCTGTAGTTTTATGTGTGTTAATACATTTAGAAATGCAAATAAGAAAACAGTGCCCTGTGCATGGTGTGCAAACAAGAAAAGTAACTTTGATATGATAGAACGAGTGGATGCTCATAACAAATATCAGTTGTTCTGTTCCTTGAATTGTCTATCACTGTATAGGGTCAACCTACAGGCTACTTCCAATCAGGTAAATGTTTTGTTTATAGAAGTTTGTTATTTTGTAATTAAACAGGCCATTATTTTAAAAGGGTAACACACTTTAGTTATTAATGGTCAGTGTGAAATGTGTTCTTTTTTAGACCAAAAATATTTTGTAATTTTATGAACTTTTATTACCCTTATTACCTTTGTATTGAAATTTTGCTGTTGTAAGTAGCATTAGAATATAAATTAAACAAGTTGTATAAGCACAGTGGGTAAAGGAACTGTATCTCATTTGGATGTCGCAAGCTGAAAATCGTGAATTTCAAAACAGGAAGCATGTTCGAGTGTAAGTAATTATGTTTTTTAAAGAAATTTTTCCACACTATGCACAAATTTTTGTTTTTAAGACAAAATCAAATCACCGGCATGAAACACGTAGAGTATATCATATCGGTGTCAAATTTTTGTATTTAATTTTTTTTTAGTAAGAGCTTGTCAAATAAGAATTTAGTGATGTATGCCATTTATTGTGTAATAAATAACTTAATCATAATCATACTAACCAGAGCAAGTTGACGTTTGTTTAGATATTGTCTAAATGTGATACACTTGTTAGATCAACACTGTGTGATCTGTTGTAAATTTCCTCATTTGACATCTATATCTTATTTGCAAGCTGTGTATGCTATCTTGCGAGTCTCACTTGGTGATTAAAGGAATCTGTATCATTTATTGTGATTATTTGTGTTTTGTTACCTTAATTGTGTAATGTGATTATGGACAGATAAACATTGTCATAGGTATTAAGAATAACGTTTAAGTATATGTAATTTTATACAAAAGATAGGAAAATAAATAATAGTAGGTTCGAATCCCAATAAAGCTTCGAATTCATTCATGTGAGGAAGCTATCCAGCCAGCCTACGGAAAGTTGGTGGTTCTACTCAGATGTCTGTTTATGTCTGAAATAATGCTAGGAAGGGCACCTGAGGTCTTAATCCACCAGTAAAGCTGGAAAGTTACCATATGACCTATTCTGTGTTGGTGCAACAAAAACCCAGCCCAAAAAAAGCAAAAGAGAATTCCTGTATCTCAGAACAAAAAAAAACATGCTATTATCATTCCTTCAACAACTATTCATTTTGCTTAAAGTATAAAATGATATTATGATAAAGTTCAGATCTTTTTACTATTTCCAGGAAACGCCAAATGAGACATCAGAAATAAAGGATACTGAAATGGATGACATTGATGAAAGTTTTGATAAAGAGTGTAGTCGGTATATATGTAAAGTTTGTAACTATAATTCTAAGTACAAACAGAACCTGAAGAGACACATGAATATTCATCGTGAAGGGAAGGTTCCATCACCAGTCAGCAATACTCCAACGAAACAAAAACTGAAAACATGTCATTCTTGTAGTATATGTAACTACACTTCGAGTAGGAAATCAAATTTCACTAGACATCTCCAGGTCCATGAAACAGATGAACGTTTGAAAAAAATGAAAGAAATCTACATTTGTGAAACTTGTGGAAAACAATTTAAATCAAAATTTGCTCTAAAACTTCATACAGAATCCATTCATCTGAAAAAGTTTAAATTCAATTGTCCGACGTGTGACAGAGGATTCAACCAATTTCATCAATTTAGAGGACATATGGCGTCACATCACGAAAGTCTGAATGAAAAATGTTTATTGTGCTCGTCAACTTTTCGTTACAAAACAAGTTTAAATGAACACATTGAATCTGTTCATAAACAAGTTAAATTTGCCTGCTCTTTTCTTAATTGTGATGTACAATGTTCGTCAAATAGAGCTCTAATAGAGCATGTTAGAGCTAAACATAACAAAGACAGATTTCCATGTGATAAATGTGATAAGACTTTCAAATGGAGATCTAGTTTGAAATATCACAAAAGTCGTTTCCATACGGAGTAAATTTCAGTTGTAACAGGCAAATATTGACATATGTTATATATCTGAAGTACATTCTTACGATACATGGTCTGTTATGTGTATATTTGATTCTGTTAGTCTGAACTTAAATGCATAAAACAATGTTAACATGTTTATCATTAAATTGATATTTCAAACAAGAAAAATGTGCTCATGCTATTGACTACATCATTTATTTAATATGTTTGTTTAAACATGCTTTAAGGACATGCTTTCAATTTGTTTCAATAATTTACATGCACAAGAAAATGCATTGTTCTAGTACATTTTTGTTTTAATTTCAATCGTATATATGTTTAAAGATTATGCCTTGTCTATTGATTTGCCATAGATTATTTTTCTTATGTATTTTTTTGTTAGAAAGCTATGGTATATTTATTACATGCTTGTCGATGGTTTATAGAAATATATCAGTGATATAAAACTGGTAATTTCACTGTTTGAAATGGTGAAATTACCACTTTGATAACTTCACTGTTTTGAATTTAAGCCCCTTACGTTGTTTCAGTGAAATACCAGCGTGCACAGTACTGGGTACCAACTTAATGACGTGACGTCGTAAATGACGTCACGTTGTATTATTATTTGGCGCGCTTTTCATTCAGTATTAGGTTTAATGTCTTTTTTAAAACGTTTCTTTGCATATAATAAAAAGAAAATTTGTTTAGTTTAGTGTAAGATCGAAATATATTTCACCTTGTGAACACAAAAGTTCATATTTCACTCGTTGCTGCGCAAATATGCAATATACCTTTTGGTGCTCACTCGGTGAATTATATTCTGATCTTACACTGAACTAGACAAATATCCTCTATATAATTGTCTGTAATCAGGCATATAATTTTATCTCATATTTAGAGCTCAGAGGGTATAAGTCTGTGCATTCTTGTATATGTAAGAACCTATGTGTGATTGTTTTTAACTTCAAGGTTTTCTAATGAGGTACATTGTAGGTGAAATTAGTCCCTGACAATTGATCTTTGGACATTGCGTCTAATAGTTATTTATTTCTTACCACAGATTCAGAAATCATGTGACATTAGTAGTTGTTCACTTGCGAAAAAATTGGCAATTACTGGTTAGTTATCCAAGAAAGCCATTTAAGTCAAGCAACCACCGACATATGACCAAAATGTGTTAAAATCAGTATAAAAACCAAACAAAATATTGTTTTTGCCTGTTTTCTTGTGGAATGGTTGTATCATAGTTATTATTTATATTCATAATTCTGCATTTATATACTTAAGATATATGGCACAATTCGTATCTGTGATTTCAATTGATTATCTGTGCTTCCTACATAAAATCATTACAATAAAATAGTTTTGTAAATTAAAATGAATTTGTTATTATCTAAAGAGAATATGCTTAAAATGTGCAAACTTGTAAGTGGTAACAATATACATCGATTTCTACTCTCTGAAAATTATTATACACCAATATTCAGCTGGCACACACAGTCTTGGAAATTAGGATGTCTCGTTAATGTTAAGAATTCTGCTTCTTTTAGGGTGTTATGGTAACTTTCCAGCTTTCTTGGTGGAGGAAGACTGTATGTGCCTCTTAGTGCATTATTCCAGGCAAAAGCTGGCTGAGTAGTACCACCAAGCCTCTTAATGTGTTACATGGATGAAGGGCATGCTTTTGTAAGCTTGACTATCAGAAGAATATGAGGCTACCCGACTCATCTGGGCATTGGCCTAATTCCACTTAAACTTATAGGAAAATGGCAGTTGCCACTGGTTTCCTTTCTCTTATTTCTTGTACATGCCACCCATCCAACCGTTGCCTATTTCTGATGTACCGTCTAATTGAGGTTAATACATCAACTTATTCTGGGTCAGTGTGACGTTTGAATTTTTGTTGAACGGTCAAATAACATAAGGATCTGATCCAATGCAGATATCTAACTCCGTTCACAACTACTGTCATTTCTCCAAGAATCTCGATCAATTTTAACACACTACTGATGGTCACATGTATCTGGAAAATGTAAGTCATTTTATACTAAACCATATAAAATACTTTAATTTCATTTGATCATTAGTACAAGCTGCATTTAATATTTTATGCATAACTGTATGTTTTTTTCCTTTTTAGTACATAAACACTTTTACTGAACATCAATATTGTTTCTTTTCCATAACATATTTATTTTCAGTAGACTTTCCTACAGTTTTAACATCTTTTTGTTCCAACATCCCAATATGCCAGAAATTGTCCAACAAAAATTGTCATTCATATCTTTAGAAAACATAATTACTAACACTCAAACATGTTTCCTGTTTTAAAAATTGCGATTTTCAGCTTGCGACATCCAAACGAGATACAGTTCATTAACCCACTGTGGTAAGGAATTGAAATGGGGTCATCTGCAAATTGGTACTTTTGAATGTATTTATATATTAATTTATTGGTTTGTTAATCTGTTTTTATAGGCAGTAACTTGTGACCAGTGTCGGAAGTTTGTACCTGCCCAGTACCACTTGACAATGAGTGATGCATCGGTGAGAAATTTTTGCTCGTATGGTTGTGTGATGCAGTTCCAGGCACAGTTTCAAGCACCTGCTAAACAGGTATTAAATAAATGACTTATAATGTAAACATATGACTCGCCAGCCAGCCTGCATAGCTCAATTTGTTAGAGAACAAGACTTGTAATCTCAACATTTTGGGTTCGATTCCAGGGCTGACCAACTAAAATTACTAATCAGTTTTTCAGATGAGACTTTAAATCAAGGTCCCGTGTTTGAGTGCTTAAACACTTGGCACATTAAAGAACCAGGAGGAGCTTCTGGAATTGGGGCATCTTTCTGTATCTTGCACTATCCTCTAAAATATAAAATGACGAATACTCTTCTAGAGGACTTGCCCATATGGGCAACTGGTGGCGAGTATAAATTAACTCAAATACACACACAGCAAATGACTGTGATCTTGTCCTAGGCTGTGATAAATACCAAAGCTGCGGCCTTAAAGTAGAACATTGATATTCATGTTGATGATCATAGGTTAGATCTATGGCACAGTATGCTAATGGTAGTATACTGTTGGCTTACTGACTACATTTTCATCTTGCTGACAACATTTTTATCTTGATATCCCCAAAACTGACAGTAAATTAAGACAATTCCCAAAATTTGATGCTAAATAAGGCCATTTAAGAAATTCAGCAGTGTATAATTTAATTTATGAAAGATTTTGTCATGTTGCAGGTACCACAGCAGAATTCACTAAATACTGGAGTTGTTGGTAAAAGTACAATCCCTGCTCAGCCACAGCAATCAACAACAACAACAACACGCTCTGGCAGGGTTGTTACAAAAGGTAAACTGTTAACTGCACTTTCTTATGAAACATTGCTGTTATGAATATGATTAATTCCTTTGTGAGTTAGTCATTCAATATATGTCACAAGAATTTAATTTATTACAAACTTGTTCCCTTAGCCGTTAAACCTGCTGGAACAAAATGTGATTTACCTTTGCCACAAGTATAGAGCCAGACCAGCCTGTATGTGCAGTCTATACAGAATTGATACTGTTGGCAGCTCAATTTATGTACTTTAATTCAAAGCAGGGCAAATCCATATACAATTCAGCAGATGAATTAGTTGGGCGTCCGTGGCTGAGTGATTAAGGTCGTTGACTTCAAACCACTTGCCCCTCACCGCTGTGAGTTCGAATCCGGACAGGGACTTTGGATTCTTTCATGTGAGGAAGCTATCCAGCTATCTTACGAAACGTCGGTGGTTCTACTCAGATGCCCGTTCGTGCCTGAAATAAAACTTAGAAGGGCTCCTGAAGTCATCCACCACCAGTAATGCTGGAACATTACCATATGACCTATACTGTGTTGGTGTGACGTAAAATGTTAAAGGGACTCCACTGAGGTTTAAAAGCCTAAAAACATAACATTTGAATTTCTTACATAAATGAGCTGGGGCACTTTAGACAGAAATACATGCAAAGATAGTTAAGAAATATACTTTGAAATAAATTGAAAATCATATTTTTATGTTTTTCTTAGCTTAAAATATTTTCAGTCCCTTCATGTCAAATACTTCAGTGGAGTCCCTTTAAGTGTCAGTATGCCCAGACTAATTAACATTTTAAAGTTTATGTCTTCTTTTATTTTATGCTAAGTATTGTTTTGTTAAAAAAAAGTTACTGTATGCTATGTGAAAGATTGTATACTGGGGAATTTCAAGACTAAACATGTTTTATTTGTTGATTTTTTTCTAGCTCCTAAAGTAGCGGCTGCAGTCCAGCAACAAGTTGCTGTCAAAAATAGAATGGCAAAGAAGGACGACTCATTCCCAATTATCTCTAATGTTGTTTCACTAGCTCCTCAAGGTACACTTGTATATACATCATATTATATTATCATTTTTATCGAGACAAAATTTTATGATGCTCCTTCAGAATTTCAGTTTACTTCATCTTACCTGCATTAACAAATATTTTGACAATTCTTGTTTTCTATGGTCTATTGGTAAAGGGACTTGCCTTCAAATCTCTTGCTTGTCTACCTTGATATCTGTATGTTTAACTCTGTGTAGACATTATATGTTTTCGGTAGGTTGGAGGTAAATGGTTTAAATCACATCTTTGTCTGTGCCTAAAATAATGTAAGCTATGTCTCTTCTTTGGCTAATCAATAATTGAAAGTAATTATAAGACATTGATGATATTGGTCGGACTTAAACAGCCCATCCTACAAAGAAAAGTCGTCCAGGCAGTCTACTTCATCTTGCTGCATATGATTTTCTAACAAGACTGTTGTATTTGATGTTTCAGGTACACAACAACCGACTAACATTAAGACAACAACCCATGCCCTTGTAACTAACCAACAAACTGGAATCAAGGTAAATATATGTTTTATATTACTGACCATACCTTTCCTATACACTAGAAAGATGCTTCAAGGCCAGTTTAAAAAAAAAAATAAGGGAATTTTAACTTTGATTTCGATTTTAGTTAATTACATTTGGTATTTGGAATTTGTGTTTTACTTAATGCATGAAAAAATATCCACTTTATTGATGTCCAAATTATTTACAAAACATTTAAGGGCTTATCAACTTGATTCTTAAATGAAAATGATATGCAATTTGATATAATATTAAAACATTTGATAACTCAAAGACAGCTTGTCACATTTCTGATATTTCATTATTATTTTTAGACGGCTACAACAACAACAGGGAACCAGACTGTACAACAACAAATCATTATTCAGCCCCCACCACCGACATCTATGAAGAATAAATCTTTATTATGTAAACCATTCACACAGACAAAAGCTACTTCTTGCCGACCACATACACAAATTAAAGAGGTTCAAACAGGTATGCTTGTTTATATAAGATAAAAAAATTCTTCTCTTATTATTTAAAATAAAAAACTTTTTTTATATTTTAGATAAAGAACAATTATTTTGCTGAGCAAGAAATATTTTAATGGAGCTAAAATTGCCAGTTTTTCTTTCTGTCATGTTTAATTTCTTTTTCTCATAGCAATATCATTTTCCTTATATAAAAGTCATGTTTATACCCCCGAAACGAAGTTTGGGGGGATATATAGGAGTCACCCGGTGGTCGGTCCAGCGGTCCGTTGCATTTTCCTTGTCCGGAGCATAACTTGAAGACTAATGGTTTGAATTCAATATAACTTCATACAATGGTCAAGCACATTGAGAGGAAGTGCAGTGCACAAGAACCATAACTATCTTGACTAATTACATAGTTATTGCCCTATGTTACTTTTCCTTGTCCGGAGCATAACTTAAAAACTACTGGTTGGAATTCAAAACAACTTCATACAATTGTCAAGCACAGTAAGGGGAAGTGCAGTGCACAAGAACCATAACTATATCTAAAGTAATTACAGAGTTATTGCCCATTGTTACTTTTCCATTGCTTTCTTTTGTCTAGACCATAACTTGAAGACTAATGTTTGGAATTCAATATAACTTCATACAATGGTCAAGCACATTGAGAGAAAGTGCAGTGCACAAGAACCATAACTCTATCTTGACTAATTACAGAGTTACTGCCTTTTGTTACTTTTCCTTGTCCGGAGCATAACTTGAAAACTGCTGGTTGGAATTCAAAACAACTTCATACAATGGTTAAGCATAATAAGAGGAAGTGCAGTGCACAAGAACCATAACTCCATCTTGACTTATTACAGAGTTATTGCCCTTTGTTACTTTTCCATTGCTTTCTTTTGCCTGGAGCATAACTTGAAGACAAATAGTTGGAATTCAATATAACTTCATACGATGGTCAAGCACATTGAGAGGAAGTGCAGTGCACAAGAACTATAACTCTGTCCAGAGTAATTATTGAGTTATTGCCCTTTGCTACTTTTCCATTGTTTTTTTCTTGTCCAGAGAATAACTTGAAAACTTCTAGTTGGAATTCAATACTATTTCATACAATGGTCAAGTATATTGAGAGGAAGTGCAGTGTACAGAAATCATTACTCTTTCTTGACTCATTTAAAAGTTTTTGCCCTTTGTTACTTTTTATTATCCCCCGCCGAAAATTTTCGGCGGAGGATATAGAAATAGTCTCCGTCCGTCCGTCCGTCCTTCCGTCCGACATTTTTGTCCGGAGCATATCTCTAAAAGTATTTGAGTTATCAACTTGAAACTTCATAGGTGGATAGACCTCATTGAGGAGGAGTGCAGTGCACAAGAATGATAACTCTACCTTGCATGATTTTTGAGTTATTGCCCTTTGTTATTTTTCAAAATTGATTTTTGTCCAGAGCATAACTCCAAAGCCTATGAGATATTAACATGAAAACTTCATAGGTGCATAGATCTCACTCAGGAAGGTGTGCAGTGCACAAGAATGATAACTCTACCTTTCATAATTTTTGAGTTATTGCCCTTTGTTATTTTTCATACCTAATTTTTTCACCTGAGTGGAGCATAACTCAAAAAGTGTTTGAGATATCAACATGAAATGTCATAGGTGGATAGATCTTATTGAGGAGGAATGTTGTGCGCAAGAATGATAACTCTTCCCTATACAATTTTTGAGTTATTGCCCTTTGTTTTTTTTTCAATGCTATTTTGTCCAGAGCTTATCTCAAAAAGTATTTGAGGTATCAACTTGAAACTTCAAGGTGGATGGATCTCATTGAGGAGGAGTGCAGTGCTTAAGAATGATAACTCTACCCCTGCATTATTTTTGAGTTATTTCCCTTTGTTTTTTTTCAAAATTAATTTCTGTCCAGAGCATAACTCAAAAAAGCCTTTGAGATATCAAAATGAAACTTCATAGGTGCATAGATCTCACCCAGGAGGTGTGCACTGCACAAGAATGATAACTCTACCTTTTATAATTTTTGAGTTATTGCCCTTTGTTATTTTCATACTTAATTTTTCAATTCAAATTTTTTTTTCTCAAAAAGTATTTGAGGTATCAACTTGAAACTTCATAGGTGGATAGATTTTAGGAACGTCCCAGGAGGGATGCAGCACACAAGAATGATAACCTACCCTGCATTATTTTTCAGTTATTGCCCTTTGTTATTTTCAGCCATCAGTATTCACAAAGGTTTCAAATCTGTAATCACTATAGCCATCAGTTTTCATTACCAAAAGACCTCTTAAAATGGAATTATTCTGCTCTACTACATATACATTCTTCCAATGAGCAAACACATTCGGCGGGGGATGGCCATGTTGACATGGCTCTTGTTGTCCAGTGCATAACTTGAAAATTAATGATTGGAATTCAATGAAAATTTATCCAATGGTCAAGGGCAGTGAGATGAAGTGCAGTGCACAAGAACCATAACTCTATTTGGACTAATTACAGTTATTGCCCTTTGGTTTTTTTTGTCCTGTGCATAACTTGAAAACTTGTAGTTGGAATTCAATACAACTTCATACATAGGTCAAGTGCAATGAGAGGAAGTGCAGTGTACTGTAACCATAACTTCATCTTCAGTATTTATAGAGTTATTGCCCTTTGTTCCTTTTACTTGTCTTTCTGGACTTATTGCAGAGTAATTCAATAAAAACTTCATCAATGGCCAACCACATTGAAAGGAAATGCAACATACAAAAACCACAACTATCTTTAATTGCCCACAACCATAACTCTATTTCAATTCTTTTACAAGGTATTCTGTTACTAGTAACATCCTCATTTCCAAAGCAGTCTTGCGGGGGTATAAATCACATTTAGTGATAGTTCTAGTTTAGATTTGATGGTGTTACAATTAGATAATATGTATAAATCAAAAAGGTAATCTTACATCAAATTTTCACAGATCAATGAAGTGTCTGTCAAGAAAATAAGAAAGTTGTTTATAGATACATGTACATATAAATGATTTAATTGCAGAGGGGAAAGCAGAGCCGGAGAAATACCTGATACCCATACCTGTACCTATATACTGTCCGACACCTCTAGCCATGTACACTCTACCTACCCCAATATTTATACCAGTACCTGTGCCAATACCAGTTCCTGTGTTCATTCCTACAACCAAAAAAAGTGCAAACAGCATACTAAAACAAATCAAGGTAAGTATTACATATATTATACTGTTTATTTTGTGCTTAACACTTAGCTCAACTATTCAATGGATAGGGAGAGCTATTATACTCATGTCGGCATCGCCATCACTGTCACACTTCGTTTAAGTTTTATATCAGTATCTCCAAAACTACTGAAGAGAATGGGTTGAAACTAAACACTCTTGTTTTATTGTCTTACATAATGAGCACATAAGTGTTAGGTACATTTTATAGAGTTATTTCCCTTATCTTAACGTCAGGCACTGAGAATAGTCGAGCCTGCTGTCGTGTAGACATCTCCCATTTAATGAAGCCAATATATTAGATAATTATTGGTCAAAAATATTGTAATTTTCCTCTTGAAATTGTTTTTGTATAGTTTGATTAGGCATAGATAAAGAAACTGTCGTTTTATTTTCCATTTTTTTCAGACAGAATTTCTATATATATTTCATACAAATCTATACATTTTGTAAAATATTGTATTTTACAGAGAGAAAAAATTGTTTGATACTGTATTTGTATTGTACCTTAACTTAACTGTAAACCTGTTCTACTTTGTACATTAAACATGCTTGCTGTGTGAATTTTGATCATCTTAATGTAACAATCTATGGGAAAAAACAAACAAAAAAACTTAAGTACTTGCCTTTGAACTAAAGGAAATACGGGAGAAGATTCCAGCTGATCCACTGGAGGCGGAGTTATTGATGATGGCAGAGGCGGTAGCAGGGAAAGAGGAGGAGTCAAGTAGTAGCAGTGAGGAGGAAGATAATACTGGTATTGTTTATTATATAAATTCTTTGTGATATACCTTTCCCTGTACCACTTGGTGATTAACCTTTCTCTAAACTTCTTGTTGATAAACCTTTCTCAAAGTTATCGGTAATAATGTTTATATATGTTGGTGTTAAATGTTTTCATCTCGATATTGCACAATAGTCTGGTCTTACCTTGAATTGATATACTTTGCAGAATTATATTTAGAAAATTAATTACCAACATATTAGCATTCTATTTCTCTTATAGCTCTCACAACTTAACCCTCATTGCTTTAGGCTGAAATCTTGCTGTGAATGTTGAATACTTACATTAGAAGATGCAGCCAACCTACAGAATGTTGGTGGTTCTAGCCATAGGTACACACACACACACACACACTTCTGTCTGTTAGAATATTGCCATTGAACCTTACAAGTTTAGTTTCATGTAAAACTCAATGAGTGGTATTAAAAAGTTCTTGGTGTTTTATTTACAGCTCCCCCAGAGAAAGAAACAAGTACACCAGCGCCACCTACAGGCAGTAGTGGAGGAGGTGGAGGGGGTGAACTAGGGGAGGACATGTTACAGATGGCGTTACGTATGGCATCAGAAATGACAGACGAGCCCGTCATGGATCTAGAAAACTCCTTGGAGCCAGTAGCTGTCAACACAGGTAGTATCACTGTTGTAGTGACAAATCTTAAAAAAAATGTTTACTTTAGCTTTTAAATGATCTTTACCTTTAATCATTAATTTGCAGTTCTATATGAAGGCTATAATGGCATTGTATGTTACGAACACATCTTGTTATTTTACCATTCTAACAACATATTATTTTGTGATTTGTAGCTAAGGTAATTTTATTTTGTTGTAAAGTATTTGTTATTCTCAAACAGTCATTTAAAAAAAGACAAGGACTTGGCATGAACTGATATAATCTAAGTAGTTAAATGTACTTGTCAGTTTTGACTATGATGTAAAAGAGGAATTAATAGATGCTTATAAATATATTCTATTTGACTTAATTAATTAATATAATATATTCTGTAACAGAGCCACCCCCACAGCCGAAGCCAGTTATTCCTACCACTCCGCAACCAGTAGAGGAAGATGATGAATATGTTCCGACATCAGCTCGTTCACGACGTTCAAGGGGAGGTAACAAACGTCAGTCACGTAGTACGCCAAGAAGAAACCCAAAACGCCAGAAAGTTGAACTACAACCGCAGTATCACGAGGCCACCCCGTCACCTCCAGCCCCCGCGGCTCCTCCCCCTGATGCTAACTTCCATCTGAAATACACGTACGGTGTTAATGCATTCAAACACTGGGTACTACAGAAAAATACTCAGATTGAACAAGCTTCTAAACCAGGGCATGGGAAACACTTGAAAACATTTAAGACAGATATTCTTCAGTGTACAGCAGATGAGTTGAATTATTCATTGTGTCTATTTGTGAAAGAAGTACGGAAACCTAATGGAGAGGAATATGCAGTAGACAGTATATATTACCTGTGCTTAGGTAGGTACATATAGTTACGGGCATTTTATAACTAACTTACTGCAATATTATTAGTCCCCTACCGGTTTAACCGGAGGGGACTTTAGGTTTACCCTCCGTCCGTCTGTCTGTCTGTCCGTCTGTCTGTCCGTCTGTCTGTCTGTCTGTCTGTCAGTCCGTCAGTCCGTCCGTCCACAAAACTGGATCCCGCGATAACGCAAAAAGTACTGAAAATATTTTTATGAAACTTGATATATGGATAGATGGCAGTATGGAGATTATGCACGTCTTTTTTTTTTCTTCCTATGTTGAAAATTCTGGTTGCTATGGCAACAAATAGTCTGAAAATATGGCAAATTTAACACATAAACTGGATCCAGTGATAACTCAAAAAGTACTGAAAATATTTTTTATGAATATTGATATATGGGTAGAAGGCAGTCTGGAGATTATGCACGTTTTTTTATTTATTTTCTTCCTATGTTGAAAATTCTGGTTGCTATGGCAACAAATAGCCTGAATTTCAAGATTTCTGATTTAAATTTTTCAGCTTTTTCACTATATGTTCTTTATTTCTTAAGGTGTTTACTTCAAACTTTAAATATAAGTTCCTGGTCATCAACCACATCATATGTGACAAGGTTTATAACTCTAGCACAAAAAATATTAATATTACCCTCCCTTGAACTTAGATTTTTTAGGGGAAAAAATGTTGTCTTTTTTAAATAACTTCTTTATTTCCTAATGTATCTACTTCAAACTTCATATATATGTTTCTTATTATCACTCGACATTTTTGAGAAGGTTAAATACTCTAGCAAGACTATTTCCAGAATTATGTCCCCCTTGAACTTAGATTTTTTTCGAGAAACTGGTATTTTCACTCCAACTTCTTCATTCCTTATAGGATTTACTTTAAAATCCCACATCGTAATAATATGACAAGGTTGTATAAACATAATTTCCTTACTAAGCATGGAAACTTAACACATTACTGTGATATAAACAAACTTATTTTATTATGTTTTGTGGTCGATATTTTCAAATACAGACTTCATCCTCAAATTCATTATAAATGGCAATACACAGGAGTGTATGACAATTAAAGAACTTTTTGAGGGACCGGTAGGGGACTACTGTATTGCCCGCAATACTATCAAATGCTTGTTCAGTATTATTTTGCGTTGGGTACTTGAATTAAGCTTATAATGACAGTATGATCACTGTTAGATTAAATTCTTTTTAAAGGTTGATTCTGTACTGCATCAAACAATAACGACTTGGCAGTTTGTGCAATAACAAGGTTGCAGAAATAGGAGAAACATGTGATAATATGTTGGTAAAATATTAAATGAAATATTGATTTATAAGGGGTTTGTATCACAGTATGTAATATACTGATTGTTGCACCACTAGATATTACAATGTGGTTAAAATGGAAATCAGAATGTTCTCTCAAATGGCAATTCTGTTAATGTTTGAGTTAAAATGCCTTTTAAGCCAGAATACAATAAAGAATAGTTCATTGAAGTGTGAAAGCTCCTTGAAGTGTGAAATTAAGATTGTGCAAAGAATTTTATTTTCAGAAATTAAACATGTACAGTCAATTATATGTTAAAATTGCTTAATGAAGAAGCATATAGACAATTATCTATAACAATATGTATATAACACATTATACTGTTTCATATTTGTAGGTATACAGCAATACTTGTTTGAGAATGGGAGAATAGACAATATCTTCACTGACTTTTATTATGAAAGATTTACTGAAGGATTGAATGAGATTCTCACCAGATACGAACCCAAACTGAATCATGCAGGTAATGTATCATCATTTCTTATAGCTTCTTATTATACTACCTATTTTATAGAGGGTCACTGTTGGAATAAATGAAGGATCTTTTTACATATGAATTGTAGATTATTGCTTTTTTCCACTCTGTTCAAAGCCTTTATAGTGGCCATGTTGATAGTGTGGTAAATTATTTTGTCAGTTTTTATCATGTTTCAATAAGAGGATAAACAGATTGCAACTCCTGAATAATGTTTACAAAATTAACTATAATCTTATAATTAGAATGTGATAAATTAGACATAATGAGGCTGGATAGCAAAACTGCAGTAACTTATATGAAATAAAGAAGGACTTACACAACAGTTTTGCGATCAATTGATTAGAAATTTTACAATTAATATGATTATATATAACAGGTCAGTTAGTGTGCCGTATAGAAGAGGAACATCTATGGGAGTCGAAACAGCTGGGAGCTCACTCTCCTCATGTCCTCCTCAACTCTCTGGTTTACTTTAACACCAAATATTTCATGTTAAAAACATCAGAAGATCATCTCAAACTCTCTTTTACTCACATCATGAAACATTGGAAGAAAACAGCAAGTGGGCGGGGCTCCGGTACCGGTCCTAATGCTGGTAGGAGTGTCTATCTAAGATACTACTGTCCTACACCACAGGGGAAAGGTATGTTCATTGTTATATATTCAATACTTACAGTAAAGTAGAGAGCCTCTACAACATGGCAGTTTTGATCACTGATTCAAATCAGTTGCTTATTCACTTTCAATGTATATTGGTTCTGATCATGTAAGAAACCTATCCAGCTAGCATATGGAAGGTCATTAATCTACTTAAATGGAGATAATGTACAAAAATGGTCCTTAGGTCTTGTTTGAAGGGGCACATGAGGTTAAGCATTTAGGATTAGCATTGTAAAAACATGGGCCCAGCACATGTTTTCTGTTGCGCTTTGTTTGTTGACACTTCTACTACTATGTTGTTTATACATTGTACTCTACTACAATTTAATGTCATGGATAAAAGAGTAACTTGCAAAAAAACAGGTGTGTATTGGTACAGAATCCAAAAATACTTTATTTCCAAAAATACTGCCTTCAGGTTTTTATGGAATAAATATTATAGTGATGTTGCATCGAAATAAATAAACAATTGATAATGAACTAACAAATACTTATTATGGAATAGCCATTATGGACACAACAAATTGCCTCATTAATGGATTGTTTTAAGTAACTTTGACAGATAATCAGAAGAAGAAGAAAGAGGAGATGCCAGTGTATGAACAGACAGAAAATCTGGATAATCCATTGAGATGTCCAGTTAAATTGTACGAGTTCTACCTATCAAAATGGTTAGTGTCCTTATTACATTTTAATTGATATCATTGCTTGTGATTTATATCCATTTCAGTGTTCGTTAAGACAGGGTTCTTAACATTATAATAATTATTAGCTTGACTGAATTTAAAAGGCAAATGCCTACCACTAGTGCACAACTTCATGTTGTTCTGTAATGGCACTTTGTTATACTTTATATCTCCGTGGTCGAGGAGTTAGAGTCGATGACTTCTAATCCAGTTACCTCTCTGGCGTGGGTCTGATCCCCGGGAGATGCTTTGGTAGTTCACTGTTTAGCACGGAGGAAGGTAGTCTAGTACTGGTGTAACTCTCCAGGAACAATGGTTAGGAAACTACCCGCCTTTATGACTGAAATACTGTTGGGAAAAGGCGTAAAATGAAACAAACAAACAAACTATACTTTATATCACTGACAAGCAGTTATCTTCATTATCTTATTAGGCCAGGTTAACTATTTTATTAATAAGATAAATAATTGAATATCAGTATTGGTTTATAATGATTTATCTTCTTCAATCAAAGTACTTTAATGTTGCAAAACTTTGTCACTCCTATAACATTGTTAGTTAGAATTTTTTTTGTATTTTCAGTCCTGAAAGTATCAAGAACCGTAATGACACTTTCTACCTGAAGCCAGAAAGGTCCAGTGTTCCAGATAGTCCAGTCTGGTACTCCAACCAATCTATAAATATTGAACATTTAACAAAACTGTTAAACAGAATTCGATTGGTCCGTGAGATTCAGGAGGCTCATTTGCATACACAGCCAATTTACATATAAACTACAGATGATATTGGTGATTATAGAACACACATTGGAAGAGATGGTTTTACTGTTCCTGCAGCTTTCCAAGGTTTCTGCAGCTAAAGATGATTGAATTATCAGAATAACTATATAGGTATCGTTCAATAGCCAGAAAGTCATTAAAATTGATGATGGCTCTTTTTTGAAAACAAAAGTGTTCGAAAAGTATTGTATAATGACTAGACCTATGAGCTTTTTTCAACCCCCATTTGCTTTTTTACAAGACCTGTGTTGTTTTTTTTTCTACCACCACAATTTTCTGCGACGTCTTTGTCATATTCTGCAGGGAAAACATCTTGACATATTGCAGAGATATTGATCCCTGTCATTTGGTTTGAGATATTCTCGAAAACTTATTTACATAATTGACTGATTGATATCAAACAAGAAAATCAGCTGTACTGTACATGCTTTATAGTGTATCATAAGCTTATATTAGTGGAGGTAATTGATATGCTTCTTGTTTAATGTAGTGAATATGAAAGCATATTTGCTTGCTTTTATGTATAAACAAGATTATTTCCAAGATTGCAGCACTACCATGTGTCTCCCTGTAGCAAAATATTGTTGAAATATTTCTTATTTCTATATATATATAGAAGTTTTTAGAAGTAAATCTTTAGGTTTACACAGTTTTCTAAGAAAACTTGTCCGATTATTTCATTATACCAGTGATTTGCATTATTACTTTTTTTATCATTGTTTTTTTAAATCATGTTGAAATTGTTTTAAATTCATAAACCACCGCTTTGTTACATTTATTTTCATTCATAGTTTTTGTATATTTTTAATCAATGAAATGTAAATAAATCCTACATCAAAGCAAAACCGATATAAAATTGTTTACTATATAATTTGTCATCTTAGTGCAATAACCAGTTAACTCTTATAAAATTATATTAGGAGTTGACCTGTAATTGTACAAAGGGGGCAAAATTATGATAGAAATTTGATGATTTTCACAATTAATCAGAAAATGCAATTATTTGTATGCAATTATGATAGTGATTCTTGGAACTTGGGCCAAATTGGTTGGCAAAAATCTACTATAAATAATGTGCATGCATTGAAGATGACAGAATATCGTCAAAAATTATTAAATTGAGGTTGGGAAAGGTTTTGTACACATCACTTCATTACTGCATAAAAGTTTTAAAAACCATAAAAAATATTGATGATTAAGTTGATTCATTTGTTCTAGAAATGATGTTGTTTTTGTCAATATTTTTGTCACAGTATATATACATAGAGCTAGAATTTTTGTCATTTTTACTCCTGGCATTCAGCCGGTCATTTGTAAATGTTTGTAACTTCTTTAATTGTATATTTACAACATCAGTATGTGTGCTGCTATATTAGTTATATTTTTATATGTTACTGGAGAAAAGTTTGAGAGTAAACACACATGAAATATTTGATTACAGGAAGTTTTGATTATAGAAGTGTTGAACAGAAAAGTGTCATATTGGCTCCATATTCCTAGTCTATAAATGAACATGTTAGACTGGGTGATTTATTTCACAGGAGTTGAGATTGTTATTATAATTGGCAGCTCCAGTACCAGGGTTGTGGAATTATGTTCTGAACTTTATTTTGTATGAATCATTTATTGTCCCCCGCCTTTTCGAAGAAAAAAGGGGGATATAGAAATAGGCTCCATCCGTCTGTCCGTCCGTCTGTCCGCCACACTTCCC